TTCAGTACTTCCATGCTGTCTACTCCACCAGGCTGGGCTGGAATGGTCACAACAGTGTATGAGACAGAATCTCTTTATATCTCTAAGAGCATGGGGGGCTCTTGACTGTGACAGAAAAAATGGAGAAGTTCGAAAGATGTGTCTGCACTTGGCTTGCTCTCCTCTTACAATTTCGTCTTATTTTTGTTAACACATTTTTACATAACATTCATTTCTGAATCTTTATTATTCAGTGAGCTATCCCTTGCAATAAAGATATTAAAAAGAAGGCGAAAAACATTCAGCAAAACTCACCAATACACCTACTGTGTCTGGCAATTTGTGTGATGTTTCACACACCAAGTCCCCCATCTCCACAAATAGAGAGTGTTGGTGTATTTTCTCAACTCTTCTAAGGGGCCAAGGCTGATAAATGTGTGTGTACAGTTTCTTCAACAAGTTTAAAATTAGAGAAACCACTAGAGGAAGCACTGAGGTCAATGAATATAGCTAGGACAACAATGCCATCTACAACATTCATTGGAATTCCACAAGCTTTTATTAAGTGACTACTGTATGCTAAGCACTGTGCTAGGTGGTGAGATCGCAGAGACAAAAATAAAACAATCCTTACCCAGAAGGACTTTGTAGTCTAATTGAATACAGTCCAATGGAAAGAAACTACACAGAGCCAGAGAAGCAAATGTGAAAATCTATTTACAAAATCAATTCACAGTAATTACAGGGGTAGGGAGAAACCCTGGCTACTGAGGGGATCAGGATTGTCTTCTTGTAAAAGGTAGCATTTGAGCAGAGCCTTGAAGATAGTGAGAATTGTAAGAAGAGGAGGGAAGGAGAAAGAGCCTTCTAGGTATGAGGGACAGCCTTTTCAAAGGCCCAGAAGAGAAATATTGAATGGTAGAAGAAACACCGAAGCTTCTGGAGGGGATGGGTGACGTGGTCAGACATAAGCTTGAGGAATGTCATTTTCACAGCTCTGTGGAGGTTGTATTGAGGAGATGAGAGCCTGGAGAGGACAAGGGGCTGACCAGAAAGATATTCTAAGAGTTCAGGTGAGAGATGATGAAAGCCTTGCCCAGAGTGGTGGCCCTTTAATCTGAGAGGAAGGGATAGCACAGGAGGTGTTGTGAAAAGAAAAAGAAAAAGTTTTAGAAACTGACTGGGTATAGTGAGTGAAAAGTTGAGGGTAATTCTGAAGTTTCAAACCTGCTAACCTGACAGGATGATGGCACTCTAAAGGAAAGAGGAAATTGAAAAGGAAGGTGAGTTTAAAAGGAAGAAAATGAGTTCTGCTTGAAGTAGGTTGGGTTTGAGTGTTAACTAGACCTCCAGGTGAAGAAATTCAACAGACAGCGGGTAATATGGAAATAGGATTGAGGAAGGAGATCAGAGAATTTAAAGGATTAGGGAAGGAAAGTGAAAGTATCTGAAGGATGAGGATGATTGCATACCTTGTCCAGGGATACCCAGATTGCTAGTAAGTATGAAAGGTAGGATTTAAATTTCAGCCTCGGTGACTGCAAGTTCAGCCCCCACACTACCTCTGCTGGAGGGGAAAAGGTCAAGAAGTCCACAAAATCTGGGCTGACTAGCTCTGTGAGTGGGATCCGCCTTTCTAATGGAAACTCAAGGGAGACAGGAGAAGTCCTTTTTTGCTTCTTACTGCTAAGGGAGAATCCTAGACCTGTCTGGTTTCCTCCTCCCTCTTCATTTTCAGGTCAAGAGAATGTAACAGACCTCTTTTCCTTCTTTTTTCCTTCTTCTCCCAGGGCTCAGATAACACCACTGTTCCTTCCAGTGGAGGTTTGACTAAGATGTTTTTGTAGGTTTACGGTAGCACTGAACCTTTAATTCTCTGTCTCTTTGAGGATGTCCTCAGATTCCCTGGATCTATGTCCTATGTCTGTCTCATCTGAGGCATCAGGACACTGAGGATGAGTGAGAGAGAAAGATGTATAACTCTTAGAACAGGGAAGGAGAGGAAGCCCAAGCCACAGAGAAGAGACACAGTCAAGCGAATATTAAGATAAGGTTGTCTTCGGTAAACCCAACCACTGGCCATGAAGAAGTGATTCCCCAACTTAAGTCATAGGATCTCTTCCAATTTCTTTTGTACAAAAAATTGACCTGACCCTCACATATTACACTTTTTTTTTTATTATGAACAGTAAAATATCATCAAATAAAAACATTTCAATATAAAAAGAAGAACAGAAAAGAGGAGACTATATGCATCTGTGAACTTTTACTGAAAATAGTTTTTCTTTTAAAGGCATATATTAAATTTGTCACAATGGCAAGTAAATTCCCTTGCTTTTTGTGTTCACTTCTAGAATTTCTTCTGTTCTTTTGTGTTCTTTTCCCCCCTCAATTTTCCTTGATGCCCTTTCCCTTCCTTTCCCTTCCTTTCCTTTTTCCTTTCCTTTTTCCTTTCCTTTTCCTTTCCTTTTTCCTTTCCTTTTTTTTTTTTTTTTTTTTTCCTTTTTTTTTCCTTTCCTTTCCTTTTCCTTTCTTTCCTTTTTTTCCCTTTTCCCTTTCCTTTCCTTTCCTTTCCTTTCCTTTCCTTTCCTTTCCTTTCCTTTCCTTTCCTTTCCTTTCCTTTTTTCCTTTCCTTTCCTTTCCTTTCCTTTCCTTTCCTTTCTTTCCTTTCCTTTCCTTTCCTTTCCTTTCCTTTCCTTTCCTTTCCTTTCCTTTCCTTTCCTTTCCTTTCCTTTCCTTTCCTTTCCTTTCCTTTCCTTTCCTTTCTTTTTCTTTTGCAATACTATCAATACTCACCAGCTTCTATCAGTTGCCCCAAAGAAATCCTCTTACATAAAAAATTGTATATAATGAAGAAAAAAAAATTCCCCATAGCTAAAAATTTGCCACCTCTAGTCTATCACTGCTGTGCCAAAAGAAAGGAAACATTTTTCGTCTTCAGTTTTCTGATAGAATGATTTGTCATTGCAGTGATCAGCATTCTCATCATTGAAACTTGTTTTCTTCTACAATACATCAGTCATTGCATCAGATTTTTTTTCTTGGTTCTACTGAATTCATTCTGCAATTGAAGCATATGAACATAATAGCAGGGTGTTTGGCAAACCCAAGGAAATCACCCTCTTGGGTCAGCATTCTGTATGTGACCAAATCTACTGGGAAAACTGGAAAGCAACTGGCCAGAAATCAAGCTTAGACCAACATCTCATACCATATGCCACAAGAAGCTCCATGTATCATGGCAGGAGTTGGAAACTGAAAAATGAACACAGGAAATGTGAGGCTGGTCTTAAGGGCTCCATTCCATTTCCCAGTAAAATTAATTATGAAGAAAAGAGGAGGATGGACGGAGAGAGGAGAAATGTGTGTGTAATGGGGTGACAAAGGTGCTGAGAGGGATGTGGTGAATTTGAGATAGTAGTAGAGATAGATAAAACAAAGGTAAAACCAAATAGGAAAAAGAGTTATATTGATCACTGATTTGAAGGAGGATTTAACATGACCTTCATGCAGCTTTGATATGATAATTGTCTAGATCTTAGGAGTACAGATTTGAAGATAGGATGGCCCTTAGTTATCTAGTTCAACACCATCATTTTGCAACTAAGGAAAATTGGCCCAGAGAGAAGTGACTTGTCCAAAGTTGTACCAAGAGTCAGAGGCAGATCCTTCTTCTGGTCCCAGGTCTGCTGACTCTAAACCTTAATAGGAAAGTGATTTCTCAAACAAATTGCAGGGAAATCAAAGAAGATGGCTGTCCTGCTCCACTACTTCTGGACCCCTTAAATAGTAAGATTGTATTCACACACATCTCTATTTCTCCCCTACATCTTGTTTTGCCTTCTTTAATGTGAATTTCACTTCCATTGGATAAAAAAGGATGTGATGGTTATGTTTGAAAAAGTGTCCCATAATTCTAGTTATTGTTTCATACCTACACTCCTCCTCAGAGAGTCTCAGGTTGCCTCGTCTCCCATGGGAGTCTGCCCTAGAATTTTGTCAAACCCTGCCTGATGTCTGAAGGCTTAAGGTTGAAACCTGAATCTGTCACTTCCTGGCTATTAAAATTTGGACAAGCCATTTAATAAAAACTGACAATTATATAGCAACTGTTCTAGAAATGATCTGATTAGAGTGTTGGCTGAGGGCACTGGCAGGTTAAAGATCACACAAGCTAAAAAATTCCAGAGATGTGAATTGAATCCAGCTCTTCCTACTCTATCCACTCTATGTCGAGTCTCACAAATAGATTAGAGATAATAATACCAAACCTGCCTACTTCCTGCAGTTGTTGTGAAGATGATATGAAATAATCAATGTCACTATTTTTTGTATCTTTTAAGTATTATTCAAATGTAAGCTGTTAAAATAACAAAGATAAAGTAAGAAAGAAGATGGGGCATCGAGGTGGCTCAGTAGATAGAGCACCAGCCCTGGAGTCAGGAGGACCTGAGTTCAAACCCAGCCTCAGACACTTGACACTAGCTGTGTGACCCTGATTACCTCACCAAGAAAAAAGAAAAAAGAAAAAGGAAAAAAGAAAGGTGTAGGGATGGACAAAGACCAGGGTTCCTCATTTCACAATCATCATTTGTACAAAAAATGTTCATAACCACCTTGGAAGGACCATAGAGATTTCCTTCATACAGACCATTCTCCGTAAGTGTAAAGATGTGAAGTTAACAGGACTGGAAGAATGTCCGAGATCTGCTTCTGACTACCAGTGTGACCTTGAAGAAGTCACTTGTCTCTGAGCCACAGTTTCTTTATTCAGAATCTGAGAGTGTTGGGTTAGAGCACTAAGGGCCCTTCTAGCTCTAAATCTGTAATGCCGAGGTCTAGGCAGTGAGGGAATCAAAGCACTATGAAGGTGTTTTGAGTATTCCTTCATATGGTCAAGAATGTAAACATAGTTCTCCTACCAATTTAGTTTTACACATGTTTCATCCATCTCTGCTTCTATGTCAAGTTCACCACTTCCCCCTTAGCACCCTTGCTACCTCACCACACACATTTTTTTCCCTCTCTATTCTTCCCTTTTAGCCCATGATGAAACTGCACTGGGGAGGAGAAGCTTACTCCTTGACAGCAGCCTTACATTTCTTGGGCTCACTTTTCATTTCCACTTCCCACCCTGACATAAGCTCCACCCTGGAATTTCCACTCTTTTTATGTTTTTTCCATCTCTCCAGATACTCCCAGAAACCCTTATAAAAAGGGGTCCACTCATGAGACAGAGGCGCAGATCTCCAGAGTGTCTTAGCCTGTGCTCTGCTGCTCCAAGCCTTCTCTCTTCTCAGGATCATGAAGGTCTCTGTGGCTGCCCTCTCCATCCTCATGGTCATGGCCTTCAGCTCTCTGGCATCCTCTGCACCAAGTAAGTGAGCTGTCTGCTGCTCTCTGTGGCTATGTCCAGGCTCTGCTCATAGGTTGATTAGAACCTCGACAGGAGATGAGTCTAGTCTGATCAGAGGGATCTGTGAGGGTGGAGAGGGACAGGAGCAGGAGCAGGGAGGATGTCTATACCTTTTGGACTTGAAGGCATTAACCTGCCCTTGACAGTATATGCTGGTTAAATGTCAGATGGAGACAGGGCAAGAGAGTAGAAAGAGCATTAGACTGAGTCCTGCGCTTGGCTTAGCTCTCATTCTGGCTCTGCCACTAATTGCCCAAGTGAGCTCCAGCAAGTGGCTTCCTCAGCAAAAGGCAGGAATTGGATGGGCAGATCTCTGACATCCTTTCTAGCTCCCATACTTCAGGTTGCCACAAATTATCCCTACGGGGATGGGAACAGCAGGTCTGATCCTCCTCCAGGCCAAATGAGAATCACACCTGGTACTGAAGGGAAACAGGGTAAGGGAGAGAGGAGGGATCACATCCCCAGTGTGCCTAATACTGAGTTTGTCCCTGGCATGGATTCAGCAGATAAGGAATGTAAGGTATGAACATAAGACTTTACTAATCTCATGCCTCCCCCTTCTTTGCAGTGGGCTCTGACCCTCCTACCTCCTGCTGCTTCTCCTATGTCAGCCAACAGCTCCCCAGAAAATTTGTGACAGATTATTATGAGACCAGCAGCCTGTGTTCCCAGCCAGCTGTGGTGTGAGTATCTACCCACTGAATCTCTTGAGGGGATCCAGAGAGAGAGAATGGCAAGGAGAAATGGGGCCATTTGACAACTTGGTGAAATGGATGAATCAAGGCACTCAGGGGAAATCCTGGTTACAAGGGAAAGAAGTCCCACAAGTGGTCCCTGGTTAAGGTTGGGTTCTCCAAGGAACATGGTGAGAGATGCTCACCCAAGGGGGAGGGAGAAATAGAAGCAATAGGGATTATAGCCTAAGGTGAGGCTTTCTGAGATACTCCCCACTGGACAGGGGAGTATCTCTCCCCTGTCTCTAGAGAGAAGCAGAATGATGCAGAAGGGCCTGAGAGATATTGCTAGAGGGGAGGATTTTTCTTCATGGCCCTCTAGAGATATACAAGAAGTGGTCAATACTGGACATAGAGGGAACACAGAGAAACATCTCTCTATCTGTGACCTCTCATTTCTCCTCCTCCCCCTCCCCAGGTTCCTGACCAAAAGAGGCCGGCAGATGTGTGCCAACCCCAGTGATGCCTGGGTTCAAAGCTATGTGGAAGACCTGGAGCTGAACTGAGGGGCTCAGGGGCCTTGGAGGATGACTCTTAAAGGGAAATGGAGCAAGCTGAGGAATTCCACATTCAGATGCAATCTCCCCAAGCTCCAGCCTTTTGGAGATCCTTTCCCCCATTAGAAATTATTCTTATCTGTGAGATTTAATTTATGTAAATTATTTGGTGGCACCTTTGGGTATTTGTTCTTGCTATTTGTACTTCTGGAAGACAACTTTTCCCCATGGGAAACTCTATTAGCAGCCTGGCATCTCTTCCTTAAAGTCCTTTGGGGCACCTGCTGCATTTCATGAATATCTGTAGCACAAAGATTTCAGAATAAAATATTTGAAAACTGTATCTTTTTGTTGTAGTTTTAATGTTCTTTGGGGATGAGGTGTTCAGGAAACAGAGTTCTTTTCTGATCATATAAGATTGGTGTGGCATCATTGGACAGCAAATGTTCTGTAAGAGCTGTGTGGGTTCAGAGAAATGCCGTGTCACTTTGAGTCAGCAGGTTAATGGGGATATCAAAAATCTCATCTTCTCCTGTGTTGAGATGCAAACTTCCAGAAATGGAGAGGAAATGTCCTTAGTGTTCAGACCTGATGAGACCACACAGGGAATCTTGTGGTCAATAGCCACGGCATAAGAACATTTGGAAGTTGGAGAATGTTTAGAGGAAGGCGACCAACAATGTGAAGTGTCTAGAGTCACAAGAGGATGATTTGAAGGAAGGAGGGATGGTCAAGGGGGGAGAAGAGAAGAGCCCAGCCAATCATGATTTGTGTTTTCCTCTATTGGCAGGTCTGTCCTTTGGAAGAGGTGAGATTTTGCCTCTGGGGCCAAGGATAGGACCAAGGGGAAGGGGTGGGATTTTTAAGGACCTAAATTTGGGCCTGACATTAGGAAAAACTTCTTAACAATTATAGCTGTCCAAACTGGACTGGATTGCTTGAAGCTGAGATGGGTTCCCCTTCCCATGGAGGTCTTTAAACAGTGGCAAGGTGACCACCCACAAAGGATATGAAAGTGGGGATTTTTTTTCAACCACCTTTGGAGTAGATAGCTGTGTTGCCGTTGTTCAGTCATGTTTGATTCTTTATGACCACCTTTGGTGTTTTCTTGGCAGAGACACTGGAGTGGTTTACCATTTCTTTCTCCATCTCATTTGAGAAGATGAGGAAACTGAGGCAAATAGAGTTAAGCACCTTGCCCAGATTAACATGGCTAATAAGTGTCTGAGGCCAAGTTTGAACCTAGAAAAAGTCTTCCTGACTTGAGGCCCAGCATTCTATCCACTAAAGCATTCTATCCTCTAAATTGCTGAAATGCATCCAATCCTCCTTCGCAAGGCCACATGGCCTCTGCCAGGCATTAATTGTGAGATCTTGGGCAATACATTCAAGCTTTCCCTCTTGCTTATCCCTTAAGACTGTCCTGAGGCTGACATGAGATAAGACGGGCAGCAGAACATGCTTTAAGAGCTGGAAAGAGCTAAAGTAAAGAAAGGAAAGGCTGTTTATCACTTGTTGTTGTTTGTTAACTGAGGGTAGTTGTGGGTGAGTGGTGCCCCATTCTCCCTGCTCTGCCTGTAGCACAGGGTTGCTGGGCAGGAGAAATCCTTAGGGTGATTTGAAAGGGATTGGGAAGGAAAATGAGTCCTTGTTGAACTTCATGCCCCCTAAGGTTCCTTCCAGCTCCAAATCCTTGATTTCTAATCCAGAACTCCCATTCTTAGGGGGTTTGAAATTACTGAAGGACTCCTCTCAACATCCCATATGAAATAAGGAGAGGGAGCATTATTATCCCCATTTGCTGGATGAGTAAACTGAGGCTCTGAAAGATTAATTGATTTTCCCAAAGGCATACAGCTAGTAAATGTCCAAGGTAGGGTTCCAATACTACTCTACTCTTTGAATACCAGGTTAGTTTGTAATGGTCCCCATGGGGAATGAGAGTGAATCAATCCTTTCCTACCCATAAGAGTTGAGAGGCTCTCAAAATGGCCCGGGAAACAAACAGAGAAGCCCAAAGACCTGCCTGTACTTTTACTGCCTGTGCTCTCCTTTTATAATTCAATGCTATTGTTGTCAGTGGATATTTTACATCATTGTTTTGAGTATCTCTTATGCTTATGCCTTTAAAGAGAGTTGTTAAAATGAAGTATATCCTCAAAAAGACAGAGAATAAAAGGTACAATGCTACAGTAAAGGGAAAAGTTCAGCACAACTCAGTGTCTACAAGACCTGACTTGCCTTATGAGTGGGATCCTCATTTCTCTCTGAATTTTGAGGGGGAAAGCAATTCTCATTTGATTCCTACTGATAAGAGGAAGTGCTAAACTCCCATCTGGTTTCCTTTTCCCTCTTCCTTCTTGAGGTGGGGGAATGTAGTGAGGCCCCCTTTCTTTGTCTCTTTCTTTCTTCTCCCAGGGCTCCAGTCTTGTAGTGGACGTCTGACTGCGATATTTCTATGGCTTTACTGTAGCTTTGTACCTTTTATTCTCTGTCTCTTTGAGGACATGCTCCTGTGGCATTCCCATTTTGGATGCCCATATTCCCTTCGCTCTCTCTATGTCCCCTGTGACTTATTTTAGGTTGTAGGACACTGAGAAAGAAAAAGGGAGAGTGACTTACGATTCTCAGCTCAGGGAGGAAGAGGAAGCCCGGGGATGACAGAAGAGCCACAGGGCAAACCTTTATTAAGAAAAGGTTAGGCTCTGCAAACCTAACCACTGACCATAAGGGATATCTATACCTAGGTCAGAGTGTCTCCCAAACCACCCTGACCCTCACACCTTATTAATTTCTTTTTTTTTTTTACTATGAACATCAAAATATTCACAAATATTAATATCTCAATATGCAAAGAAGAACAGAAAAGAGGAAGGTGCATGAATCTCTGAACTTCTACTGAGTATAGTTTGGTGGATTTAGGTATAGGGTAACTTTGCCACAGTATGAAATCACCTCCTTTACTTGCTTGTTTCCCCTTCTAGAATTGCTCCCCCCTCCCAATTTTTCATTGTCACCCTTTCCTTCATTTCTCCTGCTTTTCCCTTGCTGTGAATTGCCCCAAAGCCAACCTCCTCTGTAACAGATTGTGTATAAGGAAACAAAGCAAAAGTGTTGGCCAGAGCTGAAAATGTCTGTCTCATTTGGCATCTTGAGTGTATCACCTCTCCATCAAAAGGTGGGAGTCAGGCTTCATCTTCAGTCTTCTGCTGGAGTGACCATTCATTGCAGGGCTCAGCATTCTGGAGTTATTCCAATTTGTTTTCATTGACAATATTCCAGGCATGTCATTAGCTCTTCTCCACGTTCTGTTTACTTCCCTCAGAAAGAGAAGCAGGAGAATGTGGCAGCAGAGTGTTTAGGAAACCCAAGGAAATCACCCACTTGGGTGAGCATTGTGTATGTGACCAAAACTCCTGGAAACACTGGAAAGCAGCCAGAGAGAAATCAAGCTTAGACCAGTACCTCACACCATGTACTACAAGAAGCTGTGTGTGTCATGGTGGGAGTTGGCAACTGGAAAAGGAACCCAGGAAATGCCAGGCTCAGTCAAGGGCTGGGGTTTGGTTCCTCATGGCAGTTTCACCATGGGGGAAAGAAGGGAGTGTATGGAGAGAGGAGATATGTGTGTGTAGTGGCATGACAAAGGTGCTGAGGGGGCAGTGATAACCTTGAGAGAACAGCAGAGACTGAAGAAACCAATGCAAAATGGAATAGGAAGGAGAGATAGGATGACCATTGATTTGAAAGATTATTCAGCATAGCCTTCATACTACTTTGATACTGTAACTGCCTAGATCTTAGGATTGTAGATTGTGAACGTGAGTGGCCATTAGCTGTCTTGTCCAACATCAGCTGTGGCCCAGACGAAGGGCCTTGTTGAGGTGATTCTGGAAGTGAGAGGCAGATCCTGGATCCTGTCTTAGGTGTGCTGATTCCAGATCTGAATATGAAAGTTATATGTCAAACAAATTTCAGGAACATTGAACAAGATGCCTATCCTACCCTACCACTTCTGAACCCATTAAATAGTAGCATTGTATTCACACCCATCTCTATCTTTCCCTCACATCTTGTTTTATCTTTTTTAACATTAATTTAATTTCCATTGGATAAAAAAGGATGTGATGGCATATACGATAATTGCATACTTAAAAATGTCATGGTATACATATATTCCTCTCCAGAGAGTCTTAGGTTGTTTTCTCTCCCATGGGGGTCTACCCCAGAATGTTGTCCAACCCTGCCTGAAGTCTGAAGGCTTAAGGTTGAAACCAGAATCTGTTACTTCTTGGTTATTAAAATTTGGAAAAGCCATTTAAGGACACTGGTAATTGTATAGTAACTATTCTAGAAATGATCTGATTAGAGTGTTGGTCAGTGGTGCTGAGAGGTTAAAGATCATAGAGCCAAGAAGTTTCAGAGATGGGATTTGAACCTGGATCTTCCTGACTTCAAGCCTAAGATTCTATCTACTCCATGTCAAGTCTCATCAATAAACTAGAGATAAGAATAGCAACCCTGTGTACTTCATAAGTTTGTTGTAAAGATTATATGAGATAATCAGTGTCAAAAACTTTTGTATCCTTAGAGTGATACAAATGCAAGATGTTAAATCACCACACAGGAAAGCAGATTAAGGGATGGGCCAAGACCAGGAGTCCTAGTTTCATGGACCTGCTCATGGCCACCATTTGCACAAAACTTGTCGAGAAGTGCCCTTGAAGAAACTGAGGTGTTTCCTCTGTGTGGACCACTTTCTGTGAGTCTAAAAATGTGAAGTCACCAAACCTGAAGACATTTCTGGGATCTGCTTCTGACTACCAATGTGACCTTGGACAAGTCACTTCTATTTGGGTCACAATTACTTTAGCTGGAAAATGAGAGTGTTTGACTAAACCATCTAGGACCCCTTTACCTCTCATCCTAAGATCTAGGCAGTTATGATATCAAAGCAGTATGAAGGTCATGTTGATTACTTCTTCATATCAATGGCAAATAAAACTCTCTTTTCTATTTGTATTTGCCTATATTTCTTCTGTTTCAGCTTCTGCTCAGGTTCACCACTTCCCCCCTAGCACCTTTGCCACCTCACCACATGCACACTTCTCCTCTCTCCATCCTCCCTCCTCTTTCACCCATGATAAAGCTACACTGGGGGAGAAAACCTTAGTTCTTGACACTAGCCTTACATTTCCTGGGTTCCTTTTTTAGTTTCTATCTCCTACCATGACAACAGCTTTCCACAGGAACTTCCACTCCTTTTAGGTTCCTTCTTCCCTCTGAGAACTCCCAGAAACCACTATAAAAATAGGGGTCACACCTGAGACAGAGACACAGATCTCCGGAGTCTCCCAGCTAGGGCTCTTCTCCTCCAAGCCTTCTCTCCTCTCTGGGCCATGAAGGTCTCTGTGGCTGCCCTCTCCATGCTCATGGTCATGGCCTTCAGCTCTCTGGCATCCTCTGCACCAAGTAAGTGCTCCTTCTCTTTTCCTCTGTGACCGTGTCTAGGCTGTGGTTATAAGCTGGGTAAGAACCTGACAGGAGATGAGGCTCGATACATAGGTATCTGTGAGTGTGGGGAGGGGAGGACTGAAAGGGAGAGGCAGGAGGAGAAGCAGGGAGGATGTCTATACCTTTTGAACCTGAAGTCATCAAAATGCCCTTTGCAGTACATAAGGGTTGAATATTAAATGGAGACAGGAAAAGAGAGCAGAAAGCACAGAGGACTGGATTCTGTGTCTGGCTAAGTTCTCATTCTGGCTCTGCCACTAATTACCCCAGTGATCTCCAGCAAGTGGCTTCCTCAGCAAAGGCAGGAATTGGCTGGCCAGGTCTCTGACATCCCTTCTAGCTCCCACACTTCAATTTTCCTCAAAATATCTTGTACGGGGATGGGAACAGCAGGTCTGGTCTTCCTCCAGGCACAATGAGAATCATACCAGGTACCAGAGGAAAGCAGGATAGGGAAGACATGCGTGATCACGCCCCCAGTGTGCCTAGTGCTCAGTTTGTCCCTGGCACGATCAGCAGCTGAGCAATGTAAACTGTGAACATCAGACCTTGCTTATCTCATGCCTCCTCTTCCTTTGCAGTGGGCTCCGACCCTCCCACCTCCTGCTGCTTCTCCTACGTCAGCCAACAGATCCCCAAAAAATTTGTGACAGACTATTATGAGACCAGCAGCCTGTGCTCCCAGCCAGCTGTGGTGTGAGTATCAACTTCCTGAGGGGATCCAGGGAGAGAGGATGACTAGGAGAAATGGGGCCATTCGACAACTTGATGAAGTGAATGATTCAGGCAACTCAGGGGAAACCCTGGTTAGAAGGCAAAGTACTCCCATAAATGTCCCCTGGGCAAGGTTGAGTCCTCCATGGAGCAACAGGGGAGCTACTCACCCAAGGAGGAGGAAGAAACAGAAGCAAGAGGGATTATATGCCAAGGTGAGGCTCCCTGAGAGACTCCCGACTAGACAGGTCTCTAGAGAGAAGCTGAATTTTCAGAAGGGCCTGAGGGATGTTGCTAGAAGTCAGGATTTTTCCCCATGGTCCTATAGAGATGTGCAGGAAGTGGTCAGTGCTGGGCATGGGGGGAGCACAGAGAACCATCTCTCCATCTGTGACCTCTTATCTCTCCTCCTCTCCCTCCCCAGGTTCCAGACCAAAAGAGGGCGGCAGATGTGTGCCAACCCCAGTGATGCCTGGGTTCAGAGCTATGTGGAAGATCTGGAACTGAACTGAGGGGCTCAGGGGCCTTAAACAATGCCTCTTACAGGGAAATGGACCAAGCCAAGGAATTCTACAGTCAGATGCAATCTCCCCAAGCCCCAGCCTTCTGGAGATCGTTTCTCCCATTAGAAATGATTCTTATCTGTGAGATTTAATTTACGTAAATTATTTGGTGGCAGCTTTGGGCATGTGTTCTTGCTGTTTGCACTTCTGGAAGATATGTTCCTCATGGGAAACTCTATTAGCAGCCTGGCCTGTCTTGCTTAGAGTGTTTGGGTCACCTGCTGCATTCCATGAATATGTGTAGCACAAGGATTTCAGAATAAAATGTTTGGAAACCGTATCTTTTAGCTGTAGTTTCAATGTTCTTTGGGGATGAGGGGTTCAAGAGAGGGAGTTCTTCTCTTATCATATAAATTGGCCTGGCATCATTGGACAGCAAAGACTCTGTAAGAGCTGTGTGGGTTCAGTGGGTTGCCATCTCACTTTGAGTCAGCAGGTCAATGGGAATTCCAAAAATCCATCTTCTCCTGTGTTGAGAAGCAAACTTCCAGGAATAGAGAGGCAGTATTCCTACTGTTCTTACCTGATTAGACCATGCACGAGTCTTGTGGTCAGTATCCACAATGTAAGATGAACTTTTGGAAGCCAGAGAACATCCACAGACAGGCATCCAACCTTACAAAGTGCCAAGAGTAAGAAGTGGATGATTTGAAGGACCTGGGGGCTCAGTGGGGAGAAGAAAAAAGTCATGTCAGCCACAAATTCTTAAGTATTACCGGGTCTGTCCTTGGAAGAGCTGAGATTTGTATTCCCTGGGGCCAAGGATAGAAGGAAGGGGAAAGAGGAATTTGTAAGGACCTAAATTTGGGCCTGACATTAGGAAAAACGTCTTAACAGTTATAGCTGCCCAAAGACTGCAACAAACTGGGTTGGGTTCCCTCTCCCCTTGAAGTCTTTAAACAGTGGCTAGATGACCACCTATAAAGGACTTGGTAGTGGTGATTTATTCCAATCACCTTTTGAAGAAGATCAATATGTTGTTGTCATTTTTGAGTTATTTCAGTTGTGTATGACTGCTACTGCATTTTTGGTTTTCTTGGCAGAGATACTGGAGTGGTTTACCATTTCCTTTTCTAGCTCATTTAACAGATAAGGAAACTAAGGCAAGCAGAGTTAACTGACTTGCCCAGAGTAACACAGCTAGTAAGGGTCTGAGGCCAGGTTTGAACTCAGGAAGATAAGTCTTCTTGACTTCAGAACCAGCATTCTATCCACTTAAGCACACTTAAATTGGAGAAATGCATCCAGGCCTCCTTGGCATTCCCACTTGACCTCTGCCAGGCATTAGTTGTGTGATGTTAGGCAATGCATTCAAGCTTTCCCTCTTATTTATCCCTTAAGACTGGTCTGAGGCTGACATGAGATAAGAGGGGCAGCAGAACATGCTTTAAGAGCTGGAAAGAGCTTCAGTGAAGGAAAGGCTGTAATTATTATTCATCGTTTTCTATTAGTTAGTGGTGGTTGTGGGTGAGCAGTGGTCCCATTCTCCCTGCCATGCCTGCAGCACAGGGTTGCTGGGCAGAAGAAATCCCAAGAATATTTGAAAGGGATTGGGAAAGAAAATGAGTCCTTGTTGAACCTTAATCCCTCTAAGCTTCCTTCCAGTTCCAAATGCTTGATTTCTAGTCTAGAACTCCCATTCTTAGGGGGTTTTGAAGTCACCAAAGGATTCTTTTCTCTCAACAACCCATGTGAAATAGGGAGGAGTATTATTATCTCCATTTGATGGATGAGAAAACTGAGGCTCTAAGAGATTAATTGATTTTTTTCCATGAGCGTACAGCTAGGAAGCTGGGGTTCCAACATTGCTCTACACTTTGAACACCTGCATATTGTCAACTCTACCAGGCTAGTTTGGAATGGTCCCTACAGGGAATGAGAGTGAATCAATTGTTTTCAGTTCCTAATTTGAGGCTCTCAAAATGCCCCCAGAAACAAACAGCAAAGCCCAAAGATGTGCCTGTACTTTTCTTGGTCTCCTTTTATATTTCAATTTTTTTTCAGTGGATATTTTACACCAATCATTTCTGAATGTGTCTTATGCTCATACATTGAAAGAAAGTTTTTAAACTGAGGGAGGAAAAGTTCAGCAAAGTTCAGGGAATTTAAAGGATTAGGGAAGAAATGGTCAGTGTGTATGGGATGAAGATAATTGGGTGATTGGCCCAGCACACCCTCTGTGCTAGTCAGTATCAGTGGCAGGATTTGTAGCTCAGTCTCCCTGACTCTAAGTTCATCTCTCTAGCCACCACATCATACTACCTGTGCTGGGGAGGAAAGGGCAGGAAATCCACAAGACCAGATCTGACTTGCCATGTGAGTGGGATCCTCCTTTCTCTCTGAATTTCAAGGGAAAAAGCAGCTCTCTTTTGATTCCTACTGAAAAGAAGGAATGCTAACCCCTGTCTGGTCTCCTCTTCCATCTTCCTTTTTAGGTCATGATAATGTAGTGAGATCCTTTTTCCTTCTCTTTTCCTTTCCTTTCCCAAGGCTCCAGTCTTCCAGTGGAAGTCGGGCTAAGATGTTTCTATGGCTTTACTGTAGCACTGAGCCCTTAATTCTTTGTCTTTTTGAGAACATACTCGTGTGGCATTCCCATTTTGGATTGCCATATTCCCTTGGCTCTCTCTATGTCACCTGTGACTCATTTTAGGTAGTAGGACACTGAAGAAGAAAAAGGGAGACTGACTTATGATTCTCAGCTCAGGGAGGAAGAGGAAGCTCTGGGAACAGAGAAGAGCCATTTATTAAGGCAAGGTTAGGCTCTGCAAACCCAACCACTGACCATAAGGAAGTGATATCCAAACCTATGTCAGAGTGTCTCCCAAACCACCCTGACCCTCACACCTTATTAATTTCTTTTTTTTTTTACTATGAACATCAAAATATTCACAAATATTAATATCTCAATATACAAAGAAGAACAGAAAAGAGGAAGGTGCATGAATCTCTGAACTTCTACTGAGTATAGTTTGGTGGATTTAGGTATAGGGTAACTTTGCCACAGTATGAAATCACCTCCTTTACTTGCTTGTTTCCCCTTCTAGAATTGCTCCCCCCTCCCAATTTTTCATTGTCACCCTTTCCTTCATTTCTCCTGCTTTTCCCTTGCTGTGAATTGCCCCAAAGCCAACCTCCTCTGTAACAGATTGTGTATAAGGAAACAAAGCAAAAGTGTTGGCCAGAGCTGAAAATGTCTGTCTCATTTGGCATCTTGAGTGTATCACCTCTCCATCAAAAGGTGGGAGTCAGGCTTCATCTTCAGTCTTCTGCTGGAGTGACCATTCATTGCAGGGCTCAGCATTCTGGAGTTATTCCAATTTGTTTTCATTGACAATATTCCAGGCATGTCATTAGCTCTTCTCCACGTTCTGTTTACTTCCCTCAGAAAGAGAAGCAGGAGAATGTGGCAGCAGAGTGTTTAGGAAACCCAAGGAAATCACCCACTTGGGTGAGCATTGTGTATGTGACCAAAACTCCTGGAAACACTGGAAAGCAGCCAGAGAGAAATCAAGCTTAGACCAGTACCTCACACCATGTACTACAAGAAGCTGTGTGTGTCATGGTGGGAGTTGGCAACTGGAAAAGGAACCCAGGAAATGCCAGGCTCAGTCAAGGGCTGGGGTTTGGCTCCTCAGGGCAGTTTCATCACGGAGGAGAGAGGAGAGATGTGTGTGTAGTGGCATGACAAAAGTGTTGAGGGGGCAGTGATAAACTTGGGAGAGCAGCAGAGACTGAAGAAACCAATGGAAAATGGAATAGGAAGGAGAGATAGGGTCACCATTGATTTGAAAGATTGTTCAGCATGTCTTTCATACTACTTTGATACTGTAACTGCCTAGATCTTGGAATTGTAGATTGAGAAGAAAGGCCATTAAGTGTCTTGTCCAATACCCTCCTTTTACAAGTAAAGAAACTGAGGTCCAGAGACAGCAGGCTTGTTTCAGGTTAATCCAGTAGTGAGAGGCAGGTCCTGGATCCTGTCTTAGGTTTGCTGATTACAGACCTGCATATGAAAGTTAAATCTCCAACAAATTTTAGGAAAATTGAAGGAGGTGCCTGTCCTGCCCTACCACTTCTGAACCTATTAAATAATCACATTGTATTCACACCCATGTCCATCTTCCTCCCACATCTAGTTGTCACTTTTTAAATATCAATTTAATTTCTATTAGATAAAAAAGGATGTGATGGTATATATGGTAATTGAGTACTTAGAAATGTCATGGTATCCTACATATACTTCTCCCCAGAATGTCTCAGGTTATTTCCTCTCCTGTGGGGATTTGTGCCATACTTTTGTCAAACCCTGCCTGAAATCAGAAGGCCTCAGGTGGAATCTTGAATCTGTCATTTTCGGGTTATTAAAATTTGGACAAGCCATTTAGGAATACTGGTAATTGTACAGCTACTATTTCACCAATGATCTGATGAGAGTATTCGCTGGAGTTAAAGGTCACACAGCTAAAAATTTTCATAGATGGGACTTGAACCCAGGTCTTCCTGACTTCAAGCCTAGGATTCTATCCACTCTATGTCAAGTCTCACAAATAGAGCAGAGATAAGAATACCAACCCTGCCTACTCCATAAGGTTATTGTAAAGACGATATGAGATAATCAGTGTGAAAATGTCTTGTATCCTTAAAGTGATAGAAAAGTAATTTGTTAAAATCATGACACAAGAAAGCAGATGAAGGGATGGGCCAAGACCAGGAGGCCTCATTTCATGGACCTGCTCATGGCCACCATTTGCACACAACTTGTTGAGAAGTGCCCTTGAAGGAGCTGAGGTGTTTCCTCTGTATGGACCATTTTCTGTGAGTATAAAGATATGAAGTTTATAGACCTAAGAGCATACCCAGGATCTGCTTCTGACTAGTAGTGTGACCTTGGACAAGTCACTTCCCTGTGGATGGACCCCAGTTTCTTTGGGAGGAAAATGAGAGTGTTGAACTAAACCACGCAGGACCCTTCTAAGCCTAAGTATAAAACCTATGATAAGACAGTTATTGTATCAAAGCAGTATGAAAGTCATGCTGAATACTTCTTCACATCAATGATTAACAAAACTTTCCTATTTCTTTTTGTACGTTTCATCTGTCTCAGCTTCTGCTCAGGTTCACCACTTCCCCCTTAGCACCCTTGCCACCCCACCAAATGCACACTTCTCTCTCCATCCTCCCTCCTCTTTCACCCATGATGAAGCTGCACTGGGGGAGAGAAACTCAGTTCTTGACACTAGTATTACATTTCTTGGGTTCCCTTTTTTGTTTAAAACT